AAAAAAAAAACACTGGGTGGATTTTTATCATTATAGGGTGGTTGTGTACACACACTGCCAACACACATTTCAGTTCAAACAACTTGTAAAAGTGCATGTAGCATCCTATGACCCCTTTAAAGTTTACTTCTGTGGCAGGGCTTTAAAGGCCATCAACTCCACAATGTCTTGGAGGCACCTGGCATGGCAGACTTGACAGCAGATGTTGACTTCAGTTACCTGAGGAAAATGACAGGAAATGAGGTGACCTGCTTGGGACCCGTCACACAAAGATCCTTCCTGAAGAACATGGGCATTGACTCACGCTTGCAGGTGAGAATGACAATATTAATGTCTGCTCTTCCTCCAAAAGCATCCTGAGCAAAGTTTTGTTTACTGTAAATGCACCTGTATAAGATTGAATGTGCAAGAGTTAAAGGCCAGTGGAACACATTTTAAATTACTGTTGAGTACTGGTTAAAAATTTAGTTTTTTTTTTTTTTTTAAATGCTGTTCTTTTGAACTTTGTATTCATCAAAGAATCCTGAAAAAAATGTATGAAAGATGCATAAACTAAAAACTGCATAGGGTATGAGACACTTTGTTTCTTTTTGTTTTGCCACAAGGGTATTGCCCCGCCATGACAAAACTGTCCAAGTATAAATACATCTGTTCATAATTTAGCATCTGAAGTGTCTTGGCATGATGTTGACCAAATTTGATGACGATCTTATCAAGCTGTGATTATATCGTTGTATCATATAATTAAGAATAAGTGATTTAGTAGAAAAGGGATTCACAACCCAAGTTGCATCAAGCGTTTATATGTAGTATTTTCTGTTGTTTTTTTTATTAGTTTGACATCCATCAAATTGTTCTAGAGTTTTTGTATTTGTTAGTTACCTACTTAACCATATTTTAGGTACAAATTTGTACTCAGTAGTGAGCTAAATCTTACAAAGCTTCCCAAAACCTCAAAAATGCAGAATGTTTTCTGTTAGGGTTAGATTATATTATGATTGACAATCTGTGTATGAAAACAATAGATGCGTATGTGTTTTAATAACTGACCCTATACAAATCTCCCTGAAATATTAAGAAATGCAGAATGTTTTCTGTTAGGGTTAGATTATATTATGATTGATAATCTGTGTATGAAAACAATAGATGCGTATGTGTTTTAATAACTGACCCTATACAAATCTCCCTGAAATATTGAGTGTACTTGGGGTTTAACCCTTTGTTTTGGCAAAGACGTTGTTTTAACTCTTGACTTTTGCTTTGTTGTGTTCTGTTTTAGGTCCTCCTGAGGAACTGTCATGACCCCTCCGCCAGAGCGCAGCTCATCCACAGCTATGACATGCTAATTAACCCTGAGAAAATGGGACTCAGGTTTCAGTTCTTCTCTGTGCTTAATCGAGGTCGGCTGGCTCAGTATAGAGGAATGCAGAAGAACACAGCGCCAGTGGCAGGCTTTGCTGAGCTGGACATGCAATGAAAAGACTGTAAATGGACATAATGTAGCAGCATCCACGTGTTTTGAATAACTAGATAATCTTGTGCTACAGATGTGCATTGGACTGTGCTGATTTTCCGGTTTAGGTGAAATGTATATTTTATTGTTGGATGGTCTGCACTCTTCATTGCAATATTAAATACATAAATAGCAACATTTATTTCTGCACAAATTGCATAAAGGTAGACATGTAGTAGGAGCGTTTTATCAGAGACAGATTCTCAACTCTGGTCCTGGGAACCCACCACTTAGCATTTTGTATGTCTCTCTTATCTGACACACTCAGGTCTGTTCATGAAGCTAATGATCTGAATCAGGTGTGTTAAATAAGGAAGACATACAAAATGTGCAAAGCGGTGGGTTCCCAGGACCAGAGTTGAGAACCACTTTATTAGATCTCTCTCAGAGGTCTAGATATGGTCTGATATTTGAAGCAGTTAATGTTAACTCTTCTACAAGCCCCAAAAAAAAGGGAGGCAAAGGAAGGAAATAGGGAAGATGTGATGTTAAAAGTGAGCAGAGCTTATTGAATACTCTTAGTATCATCGTTTTCTTTGCTGTGTCTGACTTGCTCTGACCAATACTGCATCCATGTTCCAACATCTAGTTGTAGGCCTTCCCAAAAGTTGTTATTCTAGTTTCTGGTCATCACTTCTTCCTTTTGACACTCTTGACCTTTCCGAATTTTCTCTTGTTGAACATGGCCTTTTTCCGTCGAAGAGCTTTGATATCTCTACCACGGATCCAGGCATTCCGTTGAACTTCCCACTTCAGCTGTTTAACATCTGATTGAAGAGACACAGGAAAATGAGGAAAGATTTCACTCCACAAAAGCAGCTAGTCTGCGGTTTCTTCCAACAGGTTTCACTCAGAAACTGTTTATGAGGCTATTGCACAGTTTGGAATGATGAAACATATTACTCTTTATTATTGTGTATGAACTAATTTTTCTATTGGAAAACAAAAATCTATTTTCAGCACTCATCAGCTTTGTCAGTATTGGCCATTGCATTCATATCACTGCTGTCAAACTTCAAGCTTGTGTTTTCTTCCAGCAAACAGCCAAACTGTTTAAAAAGATAATACAAAGACATTTCCTATTCATTCAGTGGCATTTTGTTAAAGGTGCTTAAAATCTCCTCTCTTCTGAGGTAAATGTGTTCATTGAAATATTGCATGTTTCTGAAGGAATAACTAGTTAAGCACTTCCATCATAACAGTGGGTGGAGTCTGTTTGCTTTAACTGGAGATTTGAGACTGTAAACTGACTGCAAAAATGACCTTAGCCATTGTAACTTGCACTGAAAAGAGGGTGACCTCAGGTGATACAAAACATGAAAGTAACACTTGCAACAGAAATCAGAGAAATATACAGTTTAGTATTAATAAAATACTATAGTCTTTATAAAAATATGTTGTGAAGTATAACAAATTGTCTCATTCAACCCATAAATCATCTACCTCTTCAGCTGATGCAAACACTGACTGGTCCTCCATTTTTCCTTTCTTTTTCTTCTTTGCAGGTTGAGCACCTTTGGGATGACGGGATCACACACGCACACAAAAGGAAACCGAATTAATTCAGTTGATTGCAGAAAATGTAAGGGTGAATCTTACAAAAACACTGAATAAGAAAAAAAATGCATAAGGAGGGAAAAAAGGGTAGCCAACCCTGCTCCTGGAGTACTACCATCCTGCAGAGTTTAGCTCAAACACTAATCAAACACCTGAATCAGCTAACCAAGGTGTGTTGGAGCAGGGTTGGAACTGAAGTCTGCAGAAATGTAGCCCTCCAGGAGCAGCGTTGGCTAGCCCTGCTGTAATATGTAATATATATATATATATGTACACACACACACACACAGAGAGAGTTTTGGCATGAAACTAGATGGCGCGGTCCGATGGGTCTAACTCAATCTGACCTAATGACATCATCACATGGCACAGCTTATTGGTTCTCTCCTGTATCGGTAGCCAATGAGCTCGCTGCTCAACATTCAAATATATGACTAGTGCGTGCAGTATCAGTGCAGCTTGCTTCAGAAACCCTCCACCTTCCCCAGCTCCACCTGTATAGATCTGCTACGAGGTGATTCATGTACGCTATATGGGGTTATTTCATGTATGTTATATTTGCAGCAGCAATATTTCTTACATGCTCACAGCAGCATGTTGTGGATATATTGGCAGTAGAAAGTCTCGGTACTTGCTCTGCAGCAGCAGCAGCAGTGTAGCAGATCTGTTCCGCCAAGACCAAATACATTAACACTGTCATGTACATTACCATGCCAATCCCTCCGAGAGTTGTCATGACAGAAATATATATATATTGTAATTCTTGGTATGTTTCACAAAAAGTTATAGCAAAACTGTAATGTAACAATCCCAGTCTTTTGGAAAACCTGTAGTACAGAGTACCAACTCAATGAGCAAGCGATGACAGGCAGCTACTTTCAAATGCACACTCTGTAAAGAGCGTTTGTGTTTTGCAGTGACACAAATGCAGTTCTTAGTCAAAATGACATCATAATAGTGAAGCCATGTTATGTCATATTGGTATTACCACACATTCTACTGTCTTGACTTTTGCTGCCTTCTTGGCCAGGTCACTCTTGTATTAAAAAAGTTTTTACCTGACTATATAAAAGGTTACCGAGTAACTAATCGGAATTGGCAATGTTCTATAATTCAATATTTTGTTCCAGAGCCATTTATTCTGCTTATACCACAGTTACCATACCAAATGGATATAATAAAAAATGGTTTCATCCTTGGTTGTAATTAAAACAGAAATTTTGTATGAACAAAATTATATCAAGACAAAAGCTTCAATTGTAAATGCAATGAAAAAATACATGGTTGTTTCAGAATCCCATAAAATGTTTTATTTAATGTGATAATATTTCAAAAGTGAAACAACTTCATACCTAAAATTTTAAGTTGTATTAATTTTGAATGAAAACAAATTCTGACTATTATTTCTTCATGCAATATATTTTTTATAAAACCTTTGATTTGAGTGAATGTGGTTTTGAAAGGTTTTGTAATATTCACCTAATAAAGCCATTCTTTAATCAGCAGCTAACCAAATGAACTCAAGTAATCCAGCTGCTTCAATGGTTATTTTCTTTCGTAGATCTTCATCTTCCTCATGCAAATCTTTTCCATTTCTCATTTTGCATCATCTTTGAAATGACGAAGACATACTTATTTTTAACTTTGATAATGAAAACAGCAAAGATTTGACACACCTGCATCATCATCATCATCTTCTGTGTCCATGAACTCGCCACCTTCTTCCTCAAGTTCACCTTCAAAGTCTTCATCCATGCTGCCCAAAGAGACCTCCTCATCATCAAGGTCTTCATCAGAATCTTCTCCATCTTGATCTCGACCTTTCTTGGACTTACTGGACACAGATTTTAAAATCATTTACACCGATTCGTGTAAACTAATTGATTCACTATTAAATCAAACAACAGAGTTACATTAAATCACACTACAGAGTGGGATGCAAAAGTAACTGCAATTTTTATGTATATGCAACTTCATTGCAGTTACCAATACACTGGAAAAAGCAATCATACAATACTTCCATTGACAGACTACCCTAGAATGTCATATGCCCAATACTACTCCAATACTAATACTTCACTTTGCACGAATTATAGTAACTCCGTACTCCCAATGTAAAAAATTATGACCACCAATGAACTGTTTGTTTCTATTAATACAATTCAAAAACTGGATAGAATGAGGTGACACCATCGAACATCAAAAGGAAATTTAAGGAGAAATGGTATTAAGTTACTTTCAGCAAACAGTGATCAATCTAAGGCTGGGCGGTATATTGAGTTTGCTTAATAAATTGATATTTATAAATGATATTGGATAAGGCAATACCATTTATATTGATATACAAAATAACTCTTAAGATATAGTTAATGCTTATATAGTAACATGGCTTGCCCTGTCGAATGCTCTGACAGATACTAGTGCTGTTTAATGTGTTTGAGATGTGGTGTTTTCATCAGTGCATTGCAAAGGTATATTCACCATCTGTAAATGTTAGACAGTCATGCAAATACAGTAGGTAGTCATCCAAAATGCCTATTACCACTGTGTGTACAGCCACTGCAAGGTGGTAAATGCAACCCTGTCACATATGAAACTTTGTCACTTTGTGACCACATTAATGACACAAATAAAACATTTAATAATTTGTCAAATGCATTTCAGCAGATCACATGCATGTTTATTCGTTATGACCTTCTTTTTGACCAATCATTCCCTTATAAAGCCCTGCATGACATGTCGAAAAAAAATAAGTCCATGAATTAAAAAAGTGATCACTTTTTATTCATTTGTTCCTTCATTTTAGTTAAAAAGAGAGAACACTTATGCATTATTATTATTTATTCGTTCCCATGATTTCCAAAAAAAACCAAACTAATAAGAAAATGGTAGTCATGATTTAACTAAAACAATCAAACTACAAAGCAGGGATGAATGAATCATACTTGTTTTAAAACAAATAATTAATAAAACATGCTTGTGAGTTATTCTCTTTTTTCTGCGTGTCATGCGCAGGGCTGAGTGGATTGGTCTGGGGATAGTTAAACTTATTATTGCAGGTCTGCACATAAATTTGTGTTTGTATTCCCTGAGTGATATTTAGAGGCTATTTAAAGCTATACTAACACATTCAGCCAACACTGATTTGTTTAATCTATGATGATCTAAATCTAGATCTATGATACAATTTGATGTTTTTCATCCATTTTTAACTGCTATGGTTATCACTGTCAATCATGTCAAAATTTTTTAGTGACTAATGAAACCCTGCATTTCAATGCAGCTGCATGAAAATCAAAGGTTTTATTTAAATTATCAATAGACTATATTCAGAAAGCAAGTAAAGAACGCTCCATTAAGTTGACTACACTGCACAACGAATCTCTAATTTACAGAGTGTGCGCACTTTGTTGATCCTGAGAGAACTTGGGAGTTTAAACATGAGGACGTTATTAATCCATAACCATCCCTTCTTTTTAGTTACATAGTTCTAGCTAAATTGTAGCCATGTTTTATTTATTAATTTCTTATTTTAGTTGGGGATGAAATAATACAACATACATTTAAACTAAAATGATGGAAAAATGTATTAAAAAAAAAGAAGAAAATAAAAAAATTGTGCAGGAGTAGTTATCTGTTACCTGTTAAAAAGGACAATCTAAACAAATCTAAAATACGTTGTAGTACTGTGTAGCATACAATAAAACATAAGGCTCACAGTCTTGACATTTACTATGCTGCTTGAATTCATTCTAAATAAATGCAAGTAAGTTCATAAGTACAAATTTGCTTCTGTAAATATTATTTTAACTACAGTGTTTTTCTTAGATTATCTGCTAACTGCAACAGTCCAAATCTAGCCCACCATTTAAAATATATTTTGATTCCATGCAAAAATATACATTTATTTAAAATAACGCATCAAAAGGGTCTTTTTTTTTTTTACAGTTTTCCCACCGTTTTTCTTTCCTTACATGCTAGCTCCTTATCAACTAGGACATAAGAAAATGGTGCTTTCCACTACACCTGCAGTGTCCTTACTACACATGAAGTTGTAAGTCTAACAGCGTAAACAGTACTGGACATACCCTGCAAAGTCCAAGTCATCATCCTTGAACTCGGTGAAAAAGCTGTCTCCATAAGCATCTGAGGAGACAAAATTTTGGTCAGGCTTCTCACAAGAAACTTTAAAGTATAAAGAAAAACAGTGTCAATTTCAGGGCCTACCCAGCACCCTCTCAAATTCATCATCATCAACGTCTTCCACACTCTCGTTGTCCTCATTTCTGTTTGGTCTTTTCCACCGTTTCTCTGCATCTCGCTTCTTAAAGTACCTGAGTGACACATAACAGCATGTTTGCATTATTTGAGTCCTCTCTTGAATGACAACAGTCATTTGT